TTATGTATCCTAGTACGTTTTTATTTTTCATGTTTGGAAAAAAAATAAATTAAAATTAAAAAAAGTCCAAACCTACCAAGTGTTCACTATTTGATCTGATATTTAAGTTTTGTCCATTCCAGTCTTGTCATACCTTCATTTGCCAGTGGTAGAGCAAGTTAGCCACCTTTTGAGTTCTATAGCCTCAAATGGTAGCCAAGTGATCCTGGGTTCTAGTTCCATTTCTCCAGGTAAATATTCCTCACAGCTATTATTAGCCACTATGACCTTTATCATAAATGGCAGGCAACCAGCATATCCTTTCAACACCAAAGCAAAAATACAGAAACTGCACAAACCACATACTCCTAGAAATAAAACCGGCTTCCTTCTTTCCATTTGTAACACTTGAGAATAAATATAAAAAACCTAAGCTAGGCTAGCCTAGCTGCTCAATGTACTGGCCAATAGGCATTGAGCTTAGTCCAGACCAAGAATAGGAACCAGAAAGTCTTGATATTCAATATTGCTCTTACATGCCACGGACAGCTGTAATTGGGACAGTGTGTATTAGGATCTCTTCCAGGAGGTCATGCCCATGTGGTTTACTCAGGCCACTGTACATCCAACACTCCTCAGCAGTGGGAGCAACACTGAATTTTATGGTCCCAAGAATAAGAGCAAAATACATTTTCTGGGAGAGGATGTCGATGCCTTCTTCCTATCTGTTTCTATACCTCTTGTAAGGAACATTTACAACTCTGTAAATACTTCAGCATTCCTCTTTATGATATTTGTAGCAATTAGAAAATAAACAACACCCTTACTATTATGCACATAATACTGCTTACAAGTCCAAGTACTTTACACACATTTTGACAACACTTTTCTTTCCCCAATGACTCTCAAAACCCAAGTGATTTGTCCCTAGCTAAGGCAGCACAGTCAAAGAGTCCAGTATATTCCCTAAACTTGCTTTCCTATTCCACCTGATGTCTGTTGTCACATACATGCAAAAGCTTGATCTCAGCCAAGAGCAGCTCTAGGTTGATGCAGCTGCACAGCTGCACCCCAGGCTTGGCCCTGTAAATTACAACCTTGAACAGCAACTGCAGGGTAATTTACACAAGGTAGAGGAACTAGTTTCATATGGCAAATAAGCACTATTCTTTAAAAATATAACATGAAAAGGAAAATGAAAAGTTGATTTTTACTAACTAATCTTTCCAAGAATCTGTCATGTCTGAAAAACAGGCTATTGCCCTTGCTTCGGGAGCACGATGTGAAGGCAGGAGACAAACAGGTAATTGGAAAGGCAACTTCTTTCCAGATACTATCCACCTCTTTGCTCTAGAAAGGCTCTTCAGCTTCTAAATTTCCACTTTTCCGGATTGTGATGCTCTAAGTTGACTTCCTAACATACAAAAAACTCCAAAAGCACCTTAGAAGGATTTTTTTTTTCCCATCTAGAAGCACACCAACAAAAAAGAGCTTTGCCATTACCACCGGCCGCACCATCCCTCACCCCAATTGCACATAGAAACCAGTGGTCACCGGGCCTCCATCGAGCACCAAGTGCCACTTACAAGGGCGCTTGTCCTTGTCATCGACAACACCACCACTGAAACGGATTCATTTCCCTTCCGCCGTTCCAGCCACCGCCTTTCTGGGCAGCCCGGTCGGGGCTGGCACCGGGCAGGGTCCCTCCGCCCTGAGGGCAGGTCGGGGCCCGGCGGCCGAGCAGAGGCGGGGGCCGCCTGCACCTGTTCGGCAGGGGAGAGAAGGGGAGATGCTCCTGCCCGAGAGGGTCCCTGCGGGAGCGGGGAGGGGGCAGAGCAGACGGCCCAGCCTCTCCCTCCTTCCTTCCCTCCCTCCCTCCACCCGTGAGCGGTCCCGGCCGGCAGCGGGGGGCGGCAGGAGGGGCGGCAGCCGCCGGGCGCGGACCTCCCCCCGCAGACCCCGCTCGGTCACCCCGCCGCGCTCCCGTACCTGCCCCGCGCGCGGAGCCGGGCAGCGACTGCGCGACGGCGGCGGCGAGGAGAGACATGGGCAGGGCAGGGGGAGCGCCCCGCCGGACCTTTAAACCCGCGCCGGCGGCGGGACTACAGCTCCCAGCGGCGGCAGGACTGCGGCGGCACCGCGGCGGGACTACAGCAGGACTACAGCTCCCAGCGCTCCCGGCGCTCCGGGCACGGGCTCGAGCCCGAGCCCTGCCCTTGGCGCAGGCGCGCTGCGGGGCCGGGCGGCGGTGACGGCGGCGCGGTTGCGCTCAGCGCTCGCCGCCTCTCCCCGCGGCGGCACGGGCGCTCCGTCCTGCCCCGGCCACCGGCCCTGCGCCGCGTCCTGCCTGCCGAAGGAGGGGCCGCCCCGGCCGTCCCGCGGAAGGGCGGATTTGCCGCCCTCCCGTTCGCTCCCCTTTCTCCGCCACCGCACGCGTGACGCCTTTGTCAGGCTCCGGGCCCTCGGCTGGGCCCGCTCCTCCGCCCGGGGCCATGGCCGAGCAGACGGGCTTGGCGCTGCCGCAGACCATGGACAGGTACGCGGAGGGAACGCTCGGGCTGGGCCTGTGACCCCCCCGCGGCGGGTTTGGGGCCGGTGTCGCGGGTCCGGTTTCGTTTTTTGCCTTCGAAAAGCCTCGGTGGCCTGACAGAAGTTGTGCGAGCTCTGTCGTAAAGCAGCGCAAGGTACGGCGGGCAGCTGAGGGCCAGGAGGGATCGTTCCCGCAGCCCTCGGGAGCTGTGTGTGTGTGGCTGTATGTGTGCGTGTCTGTGTCTGTGTGTGTGTGTGTGTGCCTGCGCACGGGCCCTGGGCAGCCGGGGGCTGCGGGAGCCCTCCCTGGGCCTAGGAGAGCCTCCGGTAAGGGAACTCACTGACGTGCACGTAAAGTGAGGCACCAAAAGATGACCTAAGCTTAGCCGGCCTTGTGTGTTTTGTTGCTGGTTTTATGATCTGAAGAAAGCCTACAATTGCTTTCTGGAGCGTTTTTAAAAATTGCAACCTTAGAAGTATGACTTAAGCATGTTTCCTTGTCTATAATTACTACTTGTAAATTCTTTTTTTTATATTTCTTTTCTCTGTATGCTTTTATTTGAACATGTAGCACTTTCATCCTGTTCCACTGAGCACTTCAGCTTCCTTAAGTGTAATTTCAACTCATCTATGAAGCTCTTGCAACCTATTCCTACAAACAATAAACCACATTCACAGCCTGTTATTGCAGGAGTTGTTATAGCCTGGTATCTCAGAAGGTGGAGATCCAGAAGCAGTCAGGCTTCTGTCGATGAACCTGTCAAGTTTTCATCATAAGGAATTAAAAAGAACCCTGGTGGTTTTGTCCTTTCCAGGTCGCCTCTAAGGAAAGAGTGTTTAATGAAATACAGCCTGTCATCAGGCAGGTGATGGAAATGCAAACTATGAGAGGCAGGGGTAGAACTTGTGCAGCCTGTAAGGTGGGAATGAGAAGTTCCAGTTTGATATAGAAAGAGGATAAAGGTGATTTGGGGAGGGAAAGTTTGTCATCTCTTACCTTTTCAGTTTTTCTAGAACACATAGGGATGATTTATGTTATAAAAGTATTGCTGAATCAACTCCTCTTAAGCTAAAAAAAAAACAAAACCAAAAAAATACCAACAAAACAACAAACTTTTATCTGCACCCTGAATTTTGTGGTCTAGTAATAAATATTTACAGTCCAAGGAAACCATAAGACTCTCTGTGGCTGCCCTGATGCCCATGGCTATTGTCCTGGTTCTGAAGTCCTGGTTCACTCTGTTGGGAAATGGCTGTGAGGTTGTGTTTATAATCTTTGTTGTGACCAACCAGTTAAATTAAACGGTTAATTAAAAAAGAAAAAGGGAAATTAGTTACCAGGTTGCCAAACCAGTTTACTGTTTGAGTTGTTACCTGTAATAGAGATGTGGGTTTTGATGTACACTTAATATTCTTGTATCCTTTAAAGTATGTCAAATTATAATTTGTCTCTGGCTCTTTTCAAAGACTTTTCCTAGTATGCTTAGAGTAGCTTGATGTGTAAAACAATTGGACAGTGTCTCTGATTTCCTTAATATCAAGGACAGCAGGGAAAGAATTTGAAATACCTAAGCAGCATAAAAGGAGGTGTGATATGCAAAATCTTAAAGAGTAATTGCAAATGATTATAGCTTAACACAAAATGCATACTTTAAAATAAAATACAGATCTTTTACTGAAGGATGCAGAAAACAGCTTTCCAGTGAAGATGACTTTCATTTGGATTCTAATAGTTGAGGAAGGGGAAAAGAAGGTTTTTCTTGTGTTTCCAGTACCTAGATGACCACCAAGAGTGGTGTCATGCTGTTGTATCAGGAATTAGGTGTTGCTGTAGATCTGAGTGCATGCACTGCTTTGTATACAAGGTCAGAGCTCCCAGAGCAAGTTCTTTGATTCTCTGTTTGTGAGAGAGAACAGCTGGATTCTTCTCTTGACTCTTAGATTCTATACCTGTATGATTACAGGTTTATTTCCTTAGTAAAGTTGGATTTCTCTAGTGCAAGGACTTACTTGATAGCATCACCACATTCTTGCCTGGGATTCATCTTTCTTTGCTGTATTTTGTGCTCCATCCTTTATTTGCCTGCATAATTCAGTCTAGGAAGCAGCCCATGGATTTACAATGAAGAAGGTAAATAGCTGTTAAAATGTAAGGAGTCAGTTACTTAAAATTTCTACCTAAGGATTTTATACTTACCTGAAAGATTAACTGTAGCATAAATACAAGAAGCATGACAGTGAAGTGACACTACATTGTGGATTGTCTCATCTGCAGCATTTAGGAAACTAATCCATATGATTGGCATCATCTTTTCTAGCCTGAAAATTGGAATTTCCATCCCTCTTGTAATTTTTTTCTTCTCTTTCATGTTCAGATAACAGTTCCAGATAATAATTATTGAAATACTGTCCTTTTCTGCAAGCAGAAATTTTTTCAGTCTATGGTAAAACCCCATATTTCTGGACTAATGCGTACACTTTTAAGACAGGTATTAGTAATCTGGCTAAATGCTGAGATTTTATTATTATTTCATTATTTTTAATGCCTTTGTTCGTGTTAGTTTAATGCATAAATTACAGAATTATAGTAATCTTTGTTAAAACTTGAAATTATGTGGCAGTGGGTTTTTTATGTGCTGCTAATGTGAGCTGTAATGCTAAAATGTACTCATATTTTTAAGCTTTATTCTCTTGACTTCAGTTGGATTATGTGTGGATTGCTCTTGCACTTGGTTATGCCAATGAATGGCTGGGGTTCTGTTTTTCAAAGCGTATCCTGTGGCAGTGATTCGTGGTATCTCATATGCCATCCAAATTAAAGACAGCTGCTCCCCTCTTGCCATGTATTTGCCACCATGGTCAGAACATGGTCACCATTGCTTTCTGTAATTCCGTCTTTAGAGGTGTTTGTCAACATTTGATGGATAATCTGTTGAAGGCTTGTGCAGGTACCTGCTGAAGAATCAACATAGTGATCATTTTAGCATGGTTTAGTTTTTGAATTAGCATTCTTAATTTTCTGACTGAGCAGTAGTTGCTCAGTTGTGGTCAATATCCTTGATAAAAACTGGAGCAAGATGATGTGACTTTAAGTCTCTGCCATTCCCTATTGAAAGGAGACGAGAGCTGAAATTGCAGGTAGACTTAAAAAGCAATTTAACAATAAATTGTAGTTTGCTTAAGAAATTACTCTTACTATCTAGAGAGGAGTGCTGTTGCAATTAAATTTTCTCTTTCCAGATCACTGATTTATTGGAAAAATGCTAGCAATTGTACTTCAAAAATTACAAAACAGCATTGGATTTTCCTTTTCAGTTTTTTGAGATGTCATTTGATTCCATAGTAATTTTCTTTTTTTTTTTTCCCACAAGAAAGAAGAATATGTATGGTATTGTACATGACTTTCAGTTTCTCTTTCCATTCCAGTCACCATTTGTGGTGGTGTTTGTGTTGAGATCAGTTCATTTCCTTCCTTCTTTGAAAGTGCAGGCACTGTTTTAGTTTTATTTGTACAATTAATTGTTGATACTTCAGTAAGCTAATACACGGTTTTGGATTATGACTCTAATGCTACAACCTCAGTAGTGTAATTAGTGCAGTGTGGTCCTTGATTAAAGATGTTTATTCTGAACATCTTAGACTTGTACTGTATGTTGTGCTCTGATTTCTCACACTGAGGGAAGTTGACACACGAGTAACTCTTTCTAGGAGTGGAGTTCAACCAGATAAGATATGCAGAGTAATAAGCAACATAAAACACAGTACAGGATATATTTATTATCTTTATTTTTCACAGAATGACATCTCTGCAATTACTCAGTCTGTTTGTTCTACTTCTGCTGATTAGGCATGTCTCTTTTCCTTGTCCAACCTCAAGTAATTATTTTCTTTCTCCACAACAGAGTTAAACTCCTTTGAGAGAGATCTTTTGAGAGAGATCTTCCTAACTTCTGCTTGAAGTCTGTCAGTGTCTAGAAGTACCTGGCTTTCTGTTCTTCCTTGAGAGTAGGTTATTCATGCTTAGAAGGAAAGGCTGTGTGAGAGTAGAGAATGGACTGTGCTGAGTTCATCTCTACCAAGGAAACAAGGAGTTTGTTTTTCCCTGTCCTTAGTCCAACTGTTTGGAAGTTGATGTTGATACAGGATGGAAAAAGCAAAATCACACCTATCTTGGAGAGTGGGTTTCAAGAAAGAAAGTTGGAAACACTAATAGCTTTATAATATCTTGGCTTTCTCATTACTGCTTCATCCCAGGTATATCCCTTAGTATTTTGCTTCACTTTATCCTGAAGGTTCTATGCAGATTAACTTCTTCCTGTGTCTTACCAGTCAAGGTGATTAATGGAGACTCAATGCAGACCTGTACATTGCCTTTTGCCCATGTGAAATATACAGGTGTCAGCATGTTGTTTATAAACTATCTTAACCTTTTGACTGTTGTCTAATGTTTGTTATTTTTCTGTCTCTGATGTCTGCTTTGATATGCTTAGGAACAAATGGGCGTGTTTTAGTTGCTGTTTAACAATTAACTTCTACCTGCAGACATTAGGTAATTATTCTTCCTATTTAAGTGTGAAGAAACTCCTGAGAGAGACAACTTAAAATTTGTTGTATCCAAACTCTTGGCATCTCATGTATTATGAAGGCATTCAGAGAATATTTTCATTTGTTACATTCACTTATTTAAAAAGGCTGTACAAACTCCTGTTTATTGATCTCTTCCATATAAAAGTGTTCAGACTCTGTAATAGTGCTTAAAGTTTAAATGGTTTCCTTTGCCATTTGCCATGGTGTCTTTAAGTGCTCACTGAAATGGAAACTTCTGACAGTTAATGCAAATGTGTTGAATAAATATATGTATAATAATTTACAGACAAATATCAAAAGGTTAAGGTATCAATTTTCCAACAACTTCTTAAAGTAATACTTAAAGTGGTAATGAATATGCCAGCTGTTTTAGGCTTGTTTGGTGCTTTTGGCATCTCAACCTGCTTATGGCCTTTCTGCATTGCAAAGAGGGTGGAAAATTCCTGGTGTGAAAATAAATGCTTTCTGATGAACAATTTTGTTTTCCTCTCAGCAGCAGAATGGGCCAAGTACTAGATTTTGTATAGGATATAAATACCTACCTTTATCAAAAGAGTGTGTGACTTGCTCATGCTTTTACTGGCATTTGTAGTTTACCACAAGTAGCAAATTCATTGCCAGTGCAAAATAATAAGAGGAGTCAATCTTAAAGGTTAAAGCAAACTGCTTCTGCCTGATGTTTCTAAATGAAACTGTTGAGATTACATAAATTGGTGAAGGGGCTGGAGCATGTGACTTAATAGAAAAAGCTAGAGGGAGCTAAGCCTGTCTGGAGAAGGGATGGCTTGGGAGGCCTGATGACCTTCTACCTACCAAGGAGGTTGTTCAGAACACTGACTGTGGAGTTTCCTGGCAGGATGATGAGAACCAACTGTAAATTTGAACAGAGAAGTTTTCAGCATGTGAGGATGGGAGTGATGCAGCTGAGCTTGGGAACAAGCTGCCCAGTGCAGATGTGGATCTTGGCCCATGGGGCTTTTCAGGACCCAGCTGGAGAACGCTCTGCTGTCTGCTCTGAATTTGGTGTTGCTTCTGTCTTGGGCAGGAGGTCTGACAAGATGTCCTGTGGTCCCTTCCAAGCTGTAATTCTGTGATACCAAGTGTGGATGTAATCCCAGTTTAAGGGAAAACAGCACAGTAGCATTTGCACTGCATAACTTAAGCATACTATGCTGGAGGTACCAATGGGAAGGTACAGCCCACTGGCACCTTCTAGCAAATCTGCACTCGCTCTTCTTTAGCACCAGCTCTGAAAGTTTTACCTAAAAGTTGAGATAACTTCCTGTCTAGTTGGATTGGGAATTTACTTTTTTTCTCTTAAGAATTTTTCCTCCTGTCATGTTAATGCTAATATGAGTGCTTTTTGTCAAAAATTTCTAAAACTGAATGGAAGTGCTTATGCTCATGATTTTTGTGTTGGTGATTCTGGGGGAAGGATTAGACACTTCCTGCCTAACACTACTGTAGGATAAGAAAATTTACAATCAAAATATCCACTTTTAAATGCTGCTTTAAAAAATTGCAGTGAAGTTAAATGAAATCAGGGGCTAGCTGTTCATTTGTTTCTAAGTTAACCTAAAACTTAAACTGGCCTGCTATGTAATATTTCCCCTGCAACAAGTAAATACCAGTTGATTTAAGGGCTATCCAGGGAATCTTTGTATGTGCTTATGTTTGGAAACAACTTTCACAGAAACAAACTTTTTGGGTAAGTGTGTTTCTAGGTTTTCAGGTGATTGCTGATGGAAAATATGGACTGTTTAGTGTTCTCAGTTTATGTATCTCTGCCTGTTTCCTCCTATGACCATGCAGCTCTTCTTCAATGTGTACATAGTAAAAGAAACTGCTAAAACAGTGGGAAGATGGTAAATAAAAGAGTTGTCATGGACAAGAGGGGCTAGCATTCAGTGCTATTTTTTAAGCCATGTTGGTATAATTAATTATTTCTTCACATTCTAAAAAAGACAAGACCCTCTATTTTAAACCTGCAGTGTGGTCATTATGTACCTTCCAGATCTCTTCTCATTTGTTTCTTGTAAGTGCCTTCTGGAATGTGAATATTTTTGTTTAGAAGTGGATATTTTTTATTGGCCTAAAATGTGCCAACATTTAGTTAGCTTTCTGTGAGGGATGTAATTACAGAAGACCATGTGCAGGGCGCTTGTGACTGTTCTGCTGGTGAGTCATGCAGTCAGTTGCACAGCTTGTCGAGGAGAGTTACTTTAATGTTACCATCAGACACCTTGCAATTTTGTTCACATTTATTCAGAGTAAAGACATTTGCAAATTTTCAATGTCTGCCACATTTGATAGGTGGTGTTTGTTGTTCTTGAGATATTAACATCCCAAGAATTTATCTTGTTGGCATTTAAATTTTTTTGTGATTTTTAGGTCAGAAATTGTTCTAATTTTTATTATTAGGATTATATAAGATGACTGACTTAAGTAGAGTTTTTTGGTTTGTTCTCTTATACTGTAAATTTTCTGGTAAAAAATAGAAATTATAAACTGAGAAAAACTTGAGGAATACTATCTGGCATAAACTCTTGAGTTCAAAGCAGTTTGCTTGCTTTGGAGTTGGAGGACTACACTTCCTTTTTTTTTTTTTTTTCTTCTCTTTTCTTTGGAAGAACTCAGCAGGAAGATTGCTTACCCTGTATGGTCAGTTTAACCATGAAACTCTCTAGGAATACATTAAAAACATCAAACTTCTATTTCACAAGGACTATCCCTCAAAATTGAATGTAAAGCAAGGAACCATGTTTAGTTTCTAACAGATGTCTATGCTGTATTTGCTTCTGTAACTAAAGCTGCTGTGCCTAAAGATTCATTTGTACTTCTGCATTAACTGACACTGGAAAAGGGCTGCAGGAGATTGAGCTCACATGATACAGACTCAGTGAATAACTTTGCATTTCTTTTCATTTGCTCATCACAGCAACAGCTTAATGTCAGGATGGTTACAGTTGCAGGCAGGTCAGACTTGGTCTGTTCTGTATGTAGGTCGCTCCTGATATTTGTAGCATCTGTCATCCATTCTGTACATGTACCACAAATACCAGTATTGGTATTCTTCTGAGGCAACTCCCTTCCCTTTTCCCCCCGTGCGAAATAGCATTGTTGGTTATAGAAACTACATATTTTTGTCTTCATTTGGAGTCTGGTCATCTTAGAGGTAATTAATAAGCAATTAAGGTGTTTAAGTCACATTCAAGGAAGTAACTTTAAATAGCCTCTAATGCATAATTTCCTAGTTGCTTCATATCTCTCCTGTGTTTGTGATTATTGACAGATTTATCAAACAAGGCATGAGAAAATGTTTTCCCTATATTGTATCATGCTGTCTGCACTATAAAAAATCCATTAAA